GACTTTGGGTGAGGTTTACATAGACAGACAGACAGATAGCTAGGCCTAGATATAGATGATATAGATATAGATCGATAGATAGATAGATAGATAGATAGATAGATAGATAGATAGATAGATAGAGAGAGAGAGACAGAGAGAGAGACAGAGAGATGAGATAGATAGATAGATAGATAGATAGATAGATAGAGATAGATAGATAGATAGATAGATAGATAGATAGAAAGAGAGAGAGAGATACGATAGATAGATAGATAGAGAGAGAGATAGATAGAGGGGGATGGATGGATGGATGGATAGACGGACGGACGGACGGACAGACAGATAGATAGATATAAAGGTAAAAAAGATATTTTCTAGATATTTTCAAAGCTTTCATGGTGCATGAATATAGAAGCTATCATATCTATTCCATGCTATTCCAAGCATGCAAATATACAATATATTGGAATTTGGCAAACACTCAAAAGGAAATTAATATGACTTCCTACAGTCTGATCTTTTTACTAACCCTGCTACCATTTTCATTCTCTTTTCCTTTGAAGATGATAATGGGCAGGAGAGTCAAGATTCCTGTGAACTGTTCCAAGTGATCAATGCTGGAGATGGAATGGAGAAGTCTAGAATTCAAATGGAAGTAGAAAGCCATGAGAAAAACCAGTCAAATAATTGGAACCAGGAAAGCTCTTCTTCCATTGAGGCTCCAATGCAAGATTTTCTTGCCCAAAAAGTGAAAACAAGGAAAAAATATATTGGGAAAAGTATGAAGCAAATCAAAGCTAAATTACATGGGAATGAACACTATCCAATCCAAAACAAAGGAGAAGATGCTATAAGAAGACACAACGGAAAAAATTACACTGGGACCTACATGCTTTCTTCTGGAAAAAGGTCCCTTACATCTCAAAATGGGATCCATGCAGAAGAGAAGCCTTATAAATGTGTGGAATGTGGAAAGAGTTTTAGAAAAAATAGCCAACTTACTTCCCATAAAAGGATTCACACAGATGAGAAGCCGTACAAATGCAGAGAGTGTGGTAAGAGGTTCAGAGGATGTAGCAATCTTATTTCTCATAGAAAGGTCCACGCAGGAGAGAAGCCCTATAAATGCATGGAGTGTGGAAAGAGCTTCACTTATAGTAATTCTCTTACTTCCCATTATTGGATCCACACAGGGGAGAAGCCATATAAATGCGTGGAGTGTGGAAAGGGCTTTACTCGTCAAAGTAATCTTGATGTCCATAAGAGGATCCACACACGGGAGAAGCCACATAAATGTCTGGAGTGTGGAAAAAGCTTTACTATTAAAAGTAATCTTACTCGCCATAACAGGATCCACACTGGGGAGAAGCCACACAAATGTATGGAATGTGGAAAGTGTTTCCATGAAAATGGATCACTTATGTTACATAAAAAGACCCATACAGGAGAAAAGCCTTATAAATGCATGGAGTGTGGAAAGACCTTTACTCAGAGCCGTCATCTTACTTGCCATAAAAGGATCCACATAGGAGAGAAACCATATAAATGTGTGGAGTGTGGAAAGGACTTTATTGATAGACATCAACTTATTTCCCATAGCTGGATCCACACAGGGGAGAAGCCATATAATTGTAGAGAGTGTGGAAAGGGTTTTACTTATAAGAACCAACTTACTTACCATTACAGGCTCCACACAGAGGAGAAACCATATAAATGTGTGGAGTGTGGAAAGGGCTTTACTAATAGAAGTAATCTTACTTACCATCACAGAATCCACACAGGGGAGAAGCCATTTAAGTGTCTGGAGTGTGGAAAGAGCTTTATTGCTAGAAATATTCTTACTTGCCATATAAGGATCCACACAGGGGAGAAGCCATATACATGTGCAGAATGTGGAAAGGGTTTCTCCGAAAATGGATCACTCATGTTGCATAAAAGGATCCATACAGGAGAAAAGCCTTATAAATGCATGGATTGTGGCAAGACCTTTACTCAGAGCAGTCATCTTACTTCCCATATAAGGATCCACACGCGGGAGAAGCCATATAAATGGGTGGAGTGTGGAAAGAATTTTTGCGAAAATGGATCACTTATGTTACAGAAAAGGATCCATGCAGGAGAAAAGCCTTATAAATGCATGGATTGTGGGGAAGGGCTTTAGCCAAAAAGGCAATCTTACTTGCCATCTAAGGATACACACAGGAGAAGGCATAAAAATGTGTGGACTCATAAAAGGATTCATACAGAAGAGAAAATATATAAATCTGAGGAGCTTGGAGAGAGCTACAGGAGTAATGACCTAATTTTGCAATAAACATACACATTTGGATGAGAATCCATATAGACTTTCTTGGTTAAATCTATGCATTTTGTATTTGTGTGTACAGATCTAGGAAAAGAAAACAAATTGAGCCTGACCCTCCCAAACGGCAGCTCCAGAGACATGAAATTATTAATGATGTTTTAATTATGAACTACAGATTTTTGAAGGTACTGTCATTTGAAGATGAGCCATGCTACTTATACATGAAGAATGAAAATCTCTTAAGTTTGTTTATTGCAGCTTCCATTTGGGGGGGTCAATTTCCAAGAAAATGGCCATTTTCGTCATCTCAGATTCTGGATTATGCAATTTTATGGAAGTCTTGCCGTTATTGTGTTTTTGCAAGTGAGTTTCCTTCTCACAAATTGTTTCTTCTTCCCTCTTGATTCTGGTTTCAAACTGGCAGATGTTTAACAGGTGCTGCTTCTCTAGCTGTAGAAGGAGCTGCGTCTGCTTTACTCAAGGTCACTTCCCATAAACTCCTTTTCCTTATTCTTATTCTAATTGTTTTTCCTTTCCTTTCTCATTCCTTAATATACTCAATAGTTTATCACAAGACTCTACCCTTTTGTCTCCTCCACAAAAGTTGGTAATTTTGCAACAGAGAAGTTGTGGGTCTGAAGCAATATTGTACCAGATAGTCCTCTACTTACAACCTGAATTGGAATTGAAAATCCAGTCCTTTTGTGGTTGTCAGTGAAGGCAACATGTGAGTAGAGCCGATTTTGCAATCTTTTTCACCAGAATTGTTAAGCAATTAACTGAATCCATTCTTCCAAACAGCAGGGTTTTTTTGTTGAAAATTAGCTAAAAGCATCACAAATTACATGACCATGGGAGACTAACTGGTTGTAAGTTCAAGTCATTTGCTGAGTGACTGAAATGCAGTCACATGACCATACGGGTGGTAGTGCTACATGTTAGAGGCCATAAAACACCCTTTCCAAGGCTGTTGTAAATTCAAACGGTCATGAAACGACCAGTCATAAGTTGAGCCCTATCTACGATCTAAAGGGGACTTAAGTTTCATACAAGTATATATAAAGAGATGGAATGTGATTGAATGAGTAATTGTTTCATTGATTGAATATGACTCGGTTTGTGCTTTGAATAGAGATGACAGACAGACAGACAGACAGATAGATAGATAGATAGATAGATAGATAGATAGATAGATAGATAGATAGATAGATAGATAGATAGATAGATAGATAGATAGATAGATAGATAGATAGATAGAAAAAGAAAGATGGATGATAACTGTTACCAGTATCGCCTTAGCGCACAAGATGCAAAGAGGAATACTTAGGCTGAAAAGTTTTCAAAAAGTGAAGCGTGAGGTAAATTTTCCCTCAGAAGATGTGGGTGAAATGAGGGCCGGAATGGCTTCCCTCCAGCGGGAGAGAAAGAGGGAACTCTTGAAAAAGGGGGAGGCGAGGAGAATAAACCGCCTCCAGTCAGCCACCTACAATCTCCCAGGCTTTCCTTGAGGGTGAAAATCACGTTTATTCTTTGTTTCCCTCCGAGTCTCTCCCGCCCTCTGGGGCAGTCCCGTGAATTTACGCAGAATCCTCCAGGGGGCGTGGCTCGGCCAAGGGAACGCCAGGCGCTTCCCCGTCGGGCCACTGGAGGGCGAAGTTTACGGCTGGCTTTCCAGAGAAGGCTGCGGGGGAAATGACGTCACTGAGCTTTGCCGCTCTAGGGCGCCATCCTCGCTCGCCTTAATCCTTTGAGCGCTGAAGGCCAGAAGGCTGTGGGAGCGTCTCGCGGGGCGGGGAAGGGAAGATTCACACGTGCCTTTGGTGGGGACGGGGGCTCTTCCCGTGCAAAGGCAGGGGGAGGAAGGGGAGACCCGGGCCCGCCCTTCTCCGGGTCCAATCCCGGGTCCCATGTTCCCCAGCCGCCCTCTCGCAGGCGGAAGCGGAGCTCCAGAGCATCATCAGCAACAAAAGAGCTGGGGATCGCAGTAAGGCAGCGGCCCCTCCAGCTGCCTCTTTCCCGGCCATGCTCGGGGGAGGGGAGGGACCCCGGCCTTGCGCTCGGCTGGCCCGTTGGCACTCCGGACAGGTTGGGTGAGGGTTGTTCAGTGTATTCACAGCTTCTGGAGGCAGGTCGTTCCACTGGTTAATTGTTCTGTCAGGAAACTTCTCCTTAGTTCTAAGTTGCTTCTCTCTTTGGTTAGTTTTCATCCGTTGCTTCTTGTCCTGCCTTTAGGTAGTGAAATTCTAGTTTCTAATTCTTGGTATTTATTTTTTGTTTTCCCGCTCATATAACACAAACTCGAAGCGATTTGCAGTTTTTTCTGATGGGCAAAGAGGGCAGAAAAGACCTGCTGTGGTCAGTCCTGCAGGAACAGAAACCATCCTATGAATGAAAAGGTGTTTGGAGATCCACAAGAGTCCTTAAACACTTTGGAGTTGCTCTACAGAAGAGCGAAGGAATGGAGACACAGCCTTTAATAAATGAGGGAACTGGAAGTGGCCCTTCAGCTCTTCAGCCTGGGAACCGTGGGAGGCTCTGGGCAAGAACTGGTCAGAAAAACCTGGAGGAGGAAACTATCATCCATTCAGAAGTTCAGCCCTGGAAGTTCAGAAGCCTCCAATACCAGGAGGCTGAGGGTCCCCGAAGACTTTGCAGCCAACTCCACGACACTTGTAAGCGATGGCTGAGACCAGAAAAGCACACCAAAGCCCAGATGCTGGACCTGGTTGTTCTGGAGCAGCTCCTGGCTATCCTGCCCCCAGAGTTGGAGAGCTGGGTGAGGGAGTGTGGAGCAGAGACCAGCTCCCAGGCGGTGGTCCTGGTGGAAGGCTTCCTTCTGAGTCAGGCGGAGGAGCAAAAGGAGCAGGTTGAATTGGAGGTGAGAGACTCTCTTCTCAGGAGTCTAGAAGGGTTTGAAGGGAAGGAGGTAACTTCCTCACAACCCCCCTGCCAGAATTCTCTGGCTTTATTACGACTACATGGAGGTGTGATGTTCATGAATTATGCTTCTTTTCTCCTTCCTCCTATTTCAAGTCCTTCACTGTGGAGATCAGAGATCCTGAAGGAAGGAGCAATCCATCAAATCTCCCTGAGGATCTGTTGTTCAAGATGGTACCTCAGGAAGATTCAAGCCAAGACACAATGGAAGGTAATCGAAGGTCTGTCCATTCCCCAGAGAGATCCCAGCTATCTTACCTTGTCTATGTCTTCTCTTCTGTAGAATACATCCTTCTATTTTGTTATTAATTATGAATGTCTTCCTCACAGGGAAACATAGAATGGAGTTTTCTGGTCTTTCTGGTGGAGCTGAAACAGTGATTGAACAAGTAAGTGGGGGACGTAAGCGAGATTTGTATTCTGTCTTGCCTTCAGGAAGTCAAGATGGTGTACAGAGCACTCTATTCACCTACCCTCCCCCCCTTGTTTGGACTGTTATTTTCATGTTTCCGAATGAAGGAATAAATGCATCACAGTGGCAGCAACTGCTAAACAGACCCATGCTTTTTATTATCCTTTGACCTGGAATTGTACAAGGGTAAACAAAAATAACTAAATGGTCACACTGTGACATTACCATTTTTAAAAGGTCTTGTTTGTCACCATTGATTAAAATATTTTCATCAGATTAGAAGATAATGCAGAATATTAAAATCCAATGACAGTGGCCAGATGGAAAAATCTCTAAGTAAAAAATGGTTTTGAAGGAGCCCATAATCAAGGCAGTTTTGGCTTGCAAAGTAATTTCTGATCCACTGATTTGTGGCAGTGTTTAGACACCAAACAACCTAGCTCTTCAAAGGTTGAGGAATGCCCTTCCTAGGGAATTTTATCTGTTTTGTCTTACCCCATCTCCCATAAACTTGGATTGATATCAAGCACAGCCATTTAAGTTAGCAAATAGCTTTGCTTTGGGAATTTGTGAACAATGGAACAAACCACGCAAATCCGCCTTGGTCTTTTCTGTTTTTCCTTGTTCAGGAGGGTCTTGTGTCCTTTGAGGAGGTGGCTGTGTATTTTTCTGAGGAGGAGTGGTCTCAGCTGAATCCTGAACAAAAAGCACTGCATTGGGAAGTTATGCTGGAAAATCACAGGAATGTGGCCTCTCTGGGTAAGAGTTTGCTACTCTCCAGTAGGGTGTTCAGGAAAACATTCTTCACCTTGATGCCATCAGTCTCAGACCAGATGTCATCTCAGATATAGAAGGAAAACATCTGGCCTTCTGCTCCAAGACAGAATGAGGTTAGGGTTCTTGGCTGTGGACAAAGAGATAGAGTCAGTTTGATCTGATAATAGCATTTTAAGAGAAAACAAATTAGAATGACCAGAGTATTTAATACAATAAATAATTTTATTTCCATTTAATTTAAATGGAAATAAGTTGAAACTCAAGTACTTTGGCCACCTAATGAGAAGGAAGGACTGGAGAAGATCCTGATGCTGGGAAAGATTGAGGGCAATAGAAGAAGGGGACGACAGAAAATGAGGTGGCTGGATGGAGTCACTGAAGCAGTAGGTGTGAGCTTAAATGGACTCCAGAAGATGATAGAGGACAGGAAGGCCTGGAGGAACGTTGTCCATGGGGTCGCGATGGGTCGGACACGACTTCGCAACTAACAACAACAATAACTCCTGCTCCTGCATGGAGAGGACAATAGAGCATAACGTGTTCCAACAATTCAGTTATCCTACCACCGCATGGATACAATCTTTGTTCGAAGGGGATTTTGGGGTATCTTTCTTCAGTAACAGCTGTTGGAAGGGCAGTGAATCTGGCTAAAGAAAGGGCCCTTCTGAATTTTGGGATTGTTATGTGACTGAGATATCTGGCTGATTGGAGAGGGTGTGCAGAATGAGTCAAGATGGTGTTTCTCCAGTCTGAGTAGTCAATTTGCAACTCTAAATAGCCTACAGTCTAACCTCAGTTAGAACAGGTTCCTAGCTCATCAAAGTGGTGGTTGGCTATGAGTAGCCATAGAGGTGTAATTTGGCATGTGTTGCCTGGCTTCTCGAGTACCGGACGTTGCCGGTCATCTGTTGAGTCAAACCGACTGGAAAGAAAAGGATTTTTAGTAGTGGAAAAGATGTAAATGTAGGCAGATGTTTCGATTCTGAGGCTGCCAACTTGATGGCAAAGTACTGTGTTCAAAACACAGGGTGTTGGTTCTCGGAAATTTGGACTGAACTCTTTCTAAGGAAAGCCTAAGGACAGTGACCAAGAATTTTGGAGAATTTGGCAAACAGTTGATGATCATTTGGGTGTAATCTGGCATTAAAAGTCCCCTGCAATGATGATATGGGCAGTGAGAAAACATAGTTGAAGAGCACTGATAATAATTTTCTACTTTTCCCCAGATTTCAACAATGCATGGTCGAGGGATGTGAGGAGGTACATTCAAATTGAGGGGGAGCAATTTCTCCCCAGAAAAGTTCAAAGTAACTGTGCAAAGTTCTCAAGTGGGTCTGTTGATATAATCTTTCTATTTAAAGTGGTTGCGATATGGATGCTCAGACTTTCACGACGTTTACCTCTTCCGATGCCAGGAACTGCCGAGAGAGATAATGGCTGATATCCCTCTTTATTTTTCAATATAAAATTTTATTATTTTCATCATAGAAAAAAAACATCACAAATATTACACAATACTATATGAAAACCCACCCCCCACCCCCCCGGACTTCCCAAACCTAGTCCCAGGATAATATTCAAATATAAGTAAACAAGTATTAATATCTCTAACTCCACAAGTATATTATTCTACATAAGTAGGTAAAATATAANGAGGGCGGTGGGGACGAAGAAGATGGAGGGTGTGACGAGTGGGAAGTTTTTGAAGTTGACTGAGGTGTCTGGGTCATCGGAGATGTATATTTTACGATCGAGGGCGCAGTTTTTTTCGAAGCCATGTTTGCAATATAGTCCAATTTGTTAAAAAGTCTTATAGAAAATTCAGCCAAAGCAAATAATGCGCCAGTTAGAAATAACAAAAGTTCAAACTGGAAATCACTTTCACTTCTTGCTGAAAAGTATCAAATCATCGCCATTTTAAGTTCACTTTCCCTCATTCCAACTCAAATACGAGAAGAATATATTGTCCAAGTTAGAGTATAGTCCATAAATTAGAAGACAGACTTCCAGGGTCGGTTCGTCTGGTTATACGGCAAACTCACAGTTATCTTTAAGTTGCAGCGGTGACGGCAGCTTCTTGCTTCGCTTATTAGCGAAGACGTCCTGGATCGCGGAGAATCCCGGGGCTCCGGAGGAGTTCTCACCTACATCGTCCACAAGAGACGACTCGGGAACTCAACTCCTACCTCGGGCAGCTCACCTATCCCCCTATGCCCAGGGGAAAGGTATCAAGCCGTTTGACAGCTGATGCAGGCTGTCAAAACGGCTTTTACGCAGAAACAGGCGGGAGCAGCAAACAGCTGCGTCCAGCGAAGGCACCTGCCACCGGAAGTCCACTCTAGCTTTCTTTCTATACCAAGTTAATTCCCATGTTAGAGCGTTTCGATTATCAAACCTCAAGATTTGGTTACAAAACTTTCTAATCACTTCAAACTGAGCAAAATTTTCTTCCCTTTCTACCAATATCATCTGAGTATTAATCTGGATGTCAATCTTTGTTGTTTTTAGGAACTGAAGTGAGTCAATTACAATTAGTTGTTGATCATCAAAGTTATCCGAGTAGCTTTGTATGAAATTAATTGGCTTAATAGTTTCCACATTTGCTCCCAGTATAAATTCACAATTAGATTGTAAACATAGTATCTCTGACTCTTCAAATTGTATGTCTTGATATATAAAAGCCTGTTCAAGATTACTCAGTCCCTCTTCTA